TCACCTGCTTCAAACTGCAGGCATCTGTTTGCTACTTCGGTTCTCTGTGGAGGAGGAGAAGGAGGTGTGTGCTGGTGTCTCTCTCCAGTCTCCTTAGATCTCTTTTCTTCTGTGTGTTTTCTTTGGAAGCCTGAGTGAGGCTTTGACCGTGCTTTAACTTTGGTGGGATTGTCATGTGAATCAGGCAGACTGATCATGAACTATCTCATATCCAAAACCAAGAAAACACCATTTTCCTACATCATAGATAAAGTTCATGCCAAACTATTACCATTCTGGTGAACAGACTTAGGAGTCACTGCTCCCTCATGCTTGTGGCTATCTCCTTCTCCACTGGGAATGTGTGTAGGCAGCTGTCATATTCTTCCCTGGTAGACTCCCAGCCAGCACTGTTGTGACATGGACTGGGAGAAGCACCCTTGAGCTTGGTAGTTTGATAGTATCTCTGACAATGGGCAAGGGACTGGACCCTTTACAAGGAGAACTCTTGGAAACCAGAGAAGATATTTAGGAAATGAGCTGGGAGTTTAAATCTAATGTGGCTGATAGAGTTAATAAAATATCCTCGAGCTCTCTACATATGCTGGCTTCCCTTAGAATTGCAAATGGGCCCTGACTTACAGTGGTTGAGTTTCTATTTTCCATTTTTACTATAGTGTGAAAGCCATATGCATGTAGTAGAAATATTGCTATGAAGCTGAATCATGCCCTTTTTTCTGGGCTCATTATACCCTATCCTGTACTGTGCTGGTTTGTGATACTGGGTGGAGTCTCAAACCTCAGTCCCTATTCAGTCTTGTGCCATCAGAGGAAACAAGACACCTGAAGTGTCTTGTGTTTCTAAACTAGGGTGTCTGGCAGCTTAAACCTCAAGTGTAATTGTATTTCTTACTCTTGGGACTCTTTGAGGTCCCACTACCCAGCTCCCAAATAATCACACAGAGACTTATTATTACTTATAAACACTTGGTCTTAGGTTGGCTTATTTCTAGCCAACCTTTCTTAAATTATTCCTTCTACCTTTTGCTTCTGGGCTTTTACATTTTGCTATTTCTGTATATCTTTTCTTTCCTTCTTATTCTATGTCTGGCTTGTGACAGGCTGCTGGCATCCTTCTCTCCTCCTTTTCCCACTCCTCTTCTCTCTTTTTATTCTCTCTGCCTGCCAGCCCTGCCTATTTCTCTATCCTGATTAGCTATTGGCCATTCAGCTCTTTATTAGACCAATCAGGTGTTTTAGGCAGGCAAAGTAACACAGCTTCACAAAGTTAAACAAATGCAACACAAAAGATGAATACATCTTTGCATCATTAAACAAATGCTTCACAGCATAAACAGATGTAACACATCATCAATTAATATTCTACAACCCTTACGTGCATCATTTGCTTATGATACTTCAAACTTTTGATAGTTTTATTAGGACATAACTCCAATGCAAGCACAGGAGCCGTCTGCCAGGCCCTATTCAGTATATCATGAGTGGAAGCAATGGTAGCTGTCACACACAGGTAGTTAGCAACATGGTCCCTTTTCATCTTTTTTTTCCTGCTTTTGTCTTGACAGTCAGGAGTTTCTTGAGACATAGCTGCCAGATGGAGGAAGCTTTTCTGATAGACAACACCCCCCCTTTTGTGAACAAGAAAGGGATCTTTGTTGTATTGTTATATTAAGGCTTTAGGTTTAAGATTAATCTTAAAACCTTAACATTTACTTTTAAATGTTAACTTTTTTTGTGTTTGTGGGTGTGTATGTGTATGGGGGTACACATGCCATGCATATGTGCTTAAGTAAGAGGACAACTTGTGGGAGTCAGTTCTCTCCTTCTACCTCATCAGTCACAAGGGATGGAACTCAGGTCATCAAGCTTAGTGGCAAATGCCTTTACCTGACCATCTGGCTAGTCCAGCATTTGCTTGTTACTGTAACATTTCACACACCATCCTGGCTAACACTTTTAAATCTTCCTTATGATTCGGTTTTCTCAAAAACAACGTGTTTCTTCCCTTGTGAATCCATACCTGCTTAGCAGACAAGTTTATACTTCCTAAATTTGTATTAAGCATCCCTGGTACCCTACCAGGGAGTTTTTAGACACCACAGCTCCTGACAATGTTTGGTTGTGTGATCCACCTCACACATGTTCCTTCTCTGTTGGAAGCAGTCTTTCATATTGAATAAGTGTCTTCCAGCCCCTGGTGGCACGTCTGACAGCAAAAGAGGACTAGTTATGCTTGGCAGATCTCTGGACAGCCTTGCACACACATCAGTCTGACATCTCCTGGCAAGCTCCGTGTCTTGAGCACAGCTCTCCAAGGCCTCCCTCATCTCCAGTTCTTCATTGTCAGGTCCAGAATCTGAAGGTTCAGGCCCTGAACAAGTGAAGATACTTCCCTTTCAGGCAAATAGTCACCCAGGGTGAAGATGGTACCTGTCTGTGACAGCTGCCAAGGAAGTCCTGCTACCTTTTCCTTTACTGAGAACCCGTGGGGAGGTTTCAGGGTGTGGGTGTGGGTGTGGGTGTGGTATGGGTGGCATGAAGGGGATTCTCCCAGGTCAGGGGGAACTAGTATTCAGAGTCAAATTCTGTTAGTGCTGGAGGCAGCTTCTAGCTTCTGACTGGCATTGGGCAAGCAGCTGCACATTCGCCACCCACGATATAAGCTTGTGTGTGATGAGAGACTATGGAGCCCTCAATAGGTTTTAACCACTGATCACCAGGATCACCAGGGATGGTCTTAAGACACCAGCATTCTTTGCCAGAAAAGTCTTAAAAAGTTTAAACTCATGCTTCAATTCACATGTTCTTCCAATTGGCTTGATGGATTCCACAGAACAAAGAGGGTTTTTTTTTAACATTATCGTTGATTGATTGCATTTCTTAGCATCTTCATAAAGTAGCCAAAAAATTTCCCATTTGGAACTCTGGCCCATTTGCTTTAGGGATTTGCTAACAATCAGTGTCAGGGAAATAACACGATACATGGGTCGGACCCCCTCTCTTAAACTGTGGCTTGTTTGGGGGTGGTGATATTGGAGGAAGGGGAGACTGGGGCTGAGATAGTCCTTCCTGGGAGAGGGGATGCAGGTGGGAGGACTGTAGGCCTGTGTGTGCTTTGTCTGTAGAGGGGCCAGTGATGGTGGTAGGTGGGTGACTGCGTATATTTGGAGGTTCAGTGCTTTGATCTTGTGAGAAACCATAACCATGATGGACTTCTGAGGTCAAATTCGTGCAGGTGAATGGAACTGTGTCTTTTTCAGTTGAAAGGTCTAAGGAGATGGTGAGGGTCAGGGAGGGAGGTCCTCTCTGGATAATGAATATCAGAGGAGAGGGCTACTGGCTAAGTGTCCTCCATAGTAACCCAGGGGCTGCAGAGGGCAAGGTGGCCCCAGAGGCTGGAAATGAGTGATTCTGGGTTTCTTGGTTAACTTGGTGGGTTAGAGACTGGGGCTAGACTTCAAAAAGTAATGGGAGTGATGTGGAGTGAACCCTCTGCTCTGCTTGCTGGATTTCTAGAACAGAGGTCTTTTGGAGGAGAGGTCATTGTGTGTAAGGCTTCTAAGATTCGGGAGAAGACAGCTGATCGTACTATAGCTCTAATGATGACTTAGGGTGATGTGTCTCATGTTGGGAGAAATACTATTGCATCTTTAAGAGTAGCCGAGCTGGACCCATGGTTGGAGAAACCGGAACCCACTATGCTAGAGCTAGAATACATCTGCTGATTCTTGGAAACACTCTAGTGAACTCTTATCTGAGACCTGCTGTGCAGCCAGATGGTCATACGAAGGACAATCCGTGTTAAATCAAATGAGCTGTTGCTCCCTGTCCTCCCTGAGATCCGAACAAGGCTCACAGGAGGGATATGGTCACAGTGATGATTTCACAATGTGTCAGATGTTTATGTGCTGATGGTAACTGCTGCCCCACTGTCTCATGGTCAGTGGGGTCTAATGGGCTTTCCCAGACTGCCCTGGGGCTGCGCTACCTCTTTGTTCTTTTAAGCTTAAGTCCAAATTAGTCACTTTTTGGAAGAACTTTGGGCAGATTATCTGGAGTTTGTGAGACTTTGGCTCCAAACCCAGGGTTATAGTGTGTTAGGGAAATGTCCATCTAAGGGCTATAGTGTTTTAGGGAAATGTCTATCCCAGGGTTATAGTGTGTTAGGGCAATGTCTTTCCCAGGGTTATAGTAAATTAGTGAAATGTCTATCCCAGGTTACAGTGTGTTAAGGGAATTTCATCCCAGGATTATCATGTGTTAAGGGAATGTCTAGGTAAACATTTTTGGTAGGCTGCCTAAAGGTATCTTAGTAGAAAAAAGTCCTAAATGTCCAAGGAGCTAATAATAATTTATAACTTCTTATTTAAAAACTGTTCTCGTTCATACCTAATTTTTATAAGTAGCAGTGGGTTTTTTGTTTTTGTTTTTTTGACTACAGACACAAAAAAGTGCCTACACTTCAAAGCTAACAAAATCCAGATCTACCCCTACTAATGTTTTTTATTGTCATTTTTTTATTGAAAAACAAATATACAACTTGGAATGGATTTGAGGCAAATTGTGCCATAAGCAGATTTTCTTTAAGTGGCTAAACAAAGTTTAAAAAGCTAGTAACAATAAAAGAAAATGTTTCTGGTACAATACCAGCAGTACAAAAAAATAGTGTACGAGTACCTGAATAAAACACCTGTTTTGCAATAGTGCAACTTTTAAGTACATATTGTTGATTGATCACAGTCCATGCAGAGTTACAACTCCACACTTCAACAACAAGCTGACAGTTTCTAAAACTACTTTTAAAAAGGTATAACCCAGATGTTCCCTCATTTGACCAGCTCCATCTAAGTTTAGATATGCAGAAGGGCTTGGAAATATACAGAGTAAGCCACATGCAACATACTACTTCATCAATTCTCTAAAACAAGGTTTGAGGACAATGACAGAAGATAAGGGGAGAAAACATGGAGGAATCAAGTCCTAATTACTATACATGCATATTTTTTGACAGTAGGGGAAATCTTTTACTGATAAGTTACAAACAAAGAAAAGGCAAATAAACAGTTTTGTACAAGAAATTTAACACATTCTATATAGTGTCTTCACTTTGCTGTCATCATTTGTACAAACTCTTCAGTTTACCTAACCGTCGCCATCAATGCCAGCTTCCCTGATCATCTCATCGACCTCTTCATCGGTCAGCTTCTCTCTGAGGTTTGTCATCACATGGCGAAGCTCTGCTGCACTAATGTAGCCATTGCCATCCTTATCAAACACATGGAATGCTTCTCTGATTTCCAATTCATTGTCTGTATCTTTCATTATTCTTGCCATCATTGTCAGAAATTCAGGGAAGTCAATTGTGCCATTACCATCTGCATCTACTTCATTAATCATGTCCTGTAGCTCTGCTTCTGTGGGGTTCTGCCCAAGGGACCTCATCACAGTCCCTAGTTCCTTTGTTGTTAAAGTCCCATCACCATCCTTGTCAAATAGTGAAAAGGCTTCTTTGAATTCTGCAATCTGCTCTTCAGTCAGTTGGTCAGCCATGCTGCAAGGGCTACTGGTTTCCAAGACGAGACCACACAACCACTTGGCTCGCCCGCTCCACTCGGACTCCCCTGCTAATGTTAATGCACAGTAGAGTCGATTATTTCCAGCAATCATAGCCTGGGTTGGGGGCACGTCCAGGGTCCCCACACGTACCCTCTCCTGTACCTGACTGGTGCTTCTGTATGGTTCATCATTGACAAGACTGTCCTTGACGGTCCCTGATTGTGTCTGTCCTGAAGAGTGGGACACGGCCAGGGACCCCTTCTTTCTTCCCTCCCTCTCTCTGACAGGCTGGCCTTGAACTATCTATCTCAGCCACTCAGCCTCCCAAGTGCTGGAATTGCAGACATGCACCGCTACACCTGGCTGGTGTTTTCTTTAGAACTCATTAGCAGCATCTCACATACAAACTTGTGATGCTTCAGTCCTGGACACGGGAATTACTTTTCCCTACATTTTGTCTCATCCCCCTCCCCCACACTACAGCGCAAGCTCTCTGAGAACAGAGGTTGTCTTTGTAGGAATTTTCCTATTCTGGGCATCTAGAGATGTACCCTCGTGTTCCACCACAGGGCTACTCCCCCAGTTACGATGCTTTCCCACAGAGCCTGAGCCACAGAAGTGACTCACTGGGAGTCCATTGGCTTATTTGATTAATATTGTCTACAGTGTTTTCAAAGTTTTAAGCATTTACTACCTATTTAATTAAAAAAGGCAGAATGAGGAGCTATCATCTCTTCTACGCATAATTGGAAAATCTGACTGAAACAGTGCACCTGGGAACCAGGATTAGACACTGTTCCAAGGTAAGGCAATTACAAACCATTGATGCAGACGGTCATCTGAGTCTAAAGTTGTTTAGAGGAACCAGACATTTATTTTTTAGTAGTTATGTTTGCTTTTGGTCCTGTGTGTCAGGAAGCTTTGTCTGGTTACTTGAAAACTCCTCGTTTGTCTTTTAGTGTTTTTTTTTTTTTTTTTTTTTTTTGTCCACACGGATGGGAATTCAGCATTAACTGTATCAGCTGTCTGCTTAAAATCTCCAATGAGCAGAGAGAAACTCATGTTTCTCCATGACTCACCATGTGGGTAGGCTGTTCTTGCTCTCCTCTTTTGGTTGCTAGGACGATCTGTTTCTACCTCAGGGCCTTCGCACATGCAGCTGCCTGATGTCTTTATCCCATTAGCATCAGCTTTTGGCTGTCTACAGGGAATTTTAGATCGCCCATCACAAAGAGGCCTGTGTGCCAGACTGTACCTGAGCAACGTACTTACACTCTGGACAGAGGTTACAAAGCTTGAAATAATTTCACTAGTTACCTTCACTGTTTGTGACCTGTGTTCTCCACTAGACACGGACTCTGTGAGGCAGGAACCGGCCCATGTTGCTCTCTGATGGGCTCCTCCCAACCCCATCCTGGCTTGTCACATGGCAGGGTTCTACATGGGTGTGTCAGCTGAAAGGCTGGACGGAGAGGGCGTGTGATGCCTTGGCTGGCGTCCACCTTCGTACCAAAGCTTGTGGCTTCCTCTCACTGCGTGGCCCCGCCAGGGTGCTCACTGAGTCACAGAGTTTCCTCTCACCCTCCGTGCTAGCCTCTGTCATTGGGCATGAGAGAGCTGGTGACATGCCTGAGGAAATGCAGTTTGGGAGCCCCTCACCACCTATCTTTCCCCGAGACCTCCAAGGGTGAGCATTTGCCAGAGGGAAGGGAATGGATTTAGTGATTTGTCTTCTTGGGGAGACGAGTCCAGATGAAATGTTAAAAGATGCCATTGTTTGAGGCGGCAGGGGACAGCCTGGTATAGGGCCTGGCTTCTCACCTGGGAGTTGGTGGATAAATGAATGATCTAGTTGCTAGGGAAAGGGAAATCAGTATGTGAGGTGTTCCAGCTGCTCAGTCATAATGCCCGTCCAAGAGCTGACCTTTAGCGTGGGTGAGAGGCACCAGCCTGCTGGGCCAGACCAGAGGAGTCAAGCCAAGAGACAGTGATGGCAAGTCTAACCTGACAGAGGGCAGAGCAGCCTCTGCCCTGACAAGCGACAGTCAGGCTAGAAACAAGGCCATGGGGTGCACAGGGCTTCCGTAGACGTGTCAATGCTGGGAAAGGGAATGGGAAGCAGGAAGTTTCCCTCCTGCCCCCCACGCTCAGGATAGGTAATGATGCTGAGGCCTCAGGGTTGGAGATGTCATTCATCTTCAATGACTGTTTAGTGGTACTGGCAAAGCCCATGTGAACGGCTTCCTTCTAGTCCCTGGGAACAACGAAATAAGCTTTGGAGAGCTGGAGTGAGATACTGAGGTTCCTAGCTGCATGGTGGTGGGGCTAAGGGTTCTGATGCCTGGGCCAACCTTGGTTCCTCCCATAGGTTTGGGTCAGCTTTGCAGCTCCCTGAAGCCTGTGACTACAACCTCTTACCTCTGCAGTCTCCTCCCCACTCTCAGGACCCTCCCCCTCTTTTTTCTCCTTCATCTTCCCCACCCCCCAGTACTGAGAGCTGTCAAAGGGACTGCTTGAAGTTTCTTCTGCTTGTGCCATCATTTCAAGATGGGTTCTGGTTCCCCAAGGAGGCCAAGGGTGTGGTATTAGAGGTGGTACAAAATGGCAGGCTCTGGAATACACAGCTCTTTCCCACGGTGGGTAGACCCTGTATGTACTCAGAACACTGCGAACTCCACTGAAACCATCTTCAGGCCTAGACAAGTGGACCTGGAGGGGTAGACCATTGGCTACTCTACCCACCTGTCCAGACCAGGACCATGGGCTGCAGTAGGGTAACATTCTCTCTCCCTCTGTCCCAAATGCTCACCTTATCTTGTGACTTGGCATGTTTTACTTCCTCATCTTCTGAGTCTGGTCATGCTGCTTTCTCTGGATGGCAACGTAAGTCAGAAGTGGGCTGTGGATTCCAGCCTGGACCTCACGGAGCTTGTGTGTTTGCACTTATCCTCTTGTGACTCCCTGGGGACAACATGCTTGACCTAGCTTGCTGGTTGACGAGAGTGGGAGGATGGGGATGGGAGCCAGGAACAGAGCGACCGGGCTGCAGAGCCCAACAGTCAGTCCAGACAGGGCCTGAGTCTCCAGTCTCCAGATGTGCATGAGCACATCTGGCATGGACCACTGGCCATAGGCATGGGAACCATAATTAGTTCTGGTAGCTGCTAAGCAGCAGCCCACTGGTAACAGCAGCAGAGGTGGAGGCACTCGAAAAACCAAGTAAGCTCGTTATATAAAAAGATAAAAATGAAGAAAGATAGTTGGCCAAACTGTCTTACAAAGGGATTTAGGGTCTGAGCTCACCTTTTATATTGCAGATGAAGATCTGAGTCCCAGGGAGATGACCTCATTTGTTCCCAGGTCACACAGATGCTTTAAGAAAAGACTGCTTTCCCAGTGCTGGGCTCTTTCGGGCCTCTGCTTATACATACACCGCCTTGCTGCTGAGCACTGCTGCTGCCATGCTGGGTGGTGAGGGGGAGCACTGCTGCTGCCATGCTGGGTGGTGAGGGGGAGCACTGCTGCTGCCATGCTGGGTGGTGAGGGGGAGCACTGCTGCTGCCATGCTGGGTGGTGAGGGGGAGCACTGCTGCTGCTATGCTGGGTGGTGAGGGGGAGCACTCCCGCTGACATGCTGGGTGGTGAGGGGGAGCATTGCTGCTCACATGCTGGGTGGTGAGGGGGAGCACTCCAGTTGCCATGCTGGGTGGTGAGGGGGAGCACTGCTGCTGCCATGCTGGGTGGTGAGGGGGAGCACTGCTGCTGCCATGCTGGGTGGTGAGGGGGAGCACTCCAGTTGCCATGCTGGGTGGTGAGGGGGAGCATTGCTGCTCACATGCTGGGAGGTGATGGGGAGCACCGCTGCTCACATGCTGGGTGGTGAGGGTCTAAGGAAGTGATGAAAGTCAAGTGTGTGTTTCTTCATAGCCAACATCCCTGCTCTGTAGTGTCCTGACCTTTCTCCATGTTCCCCTCCCTCTAGGATGTGAGACAGAGAAACAGCCCCAGAGTGACCTTTGGCTCCAAATGGGAGCCAGTTGCTGCTAAGTCCCAGCAGCCACTTTTGAAGTTTTCAAAACGGTCCGATTCCCAGAGAACCGTGACATGACTTCAGGCCTATTTGAGCAGTTGGCTTAATTCCAGGCGTGTATCATTCTGCTACTGAGTCAGGAAATGCATGCCTTTGGAGCTAGAGTATGGCATGGACCAACTGGCTGTCTTCCTTAGCTGCCAGCTTTGTCCTCCACACAACCATTCTCCTCCAGATGGGCAAAGGTGTGGTCCCAGATAGACCAACCAGGTGTGAGTCTGCATAGGTGGCTAGGTGTGTATGTGTGGTCATCTGTGTGTGGCCATGTGTGTAAATGTGATTGTGCATACGTGAACGAGATGGGTGGCACTATTCTGGAGTACACTTGATAAGGAATCTGAGCCAGTCTCATTTCCTAGAAAGAACACAATGGGTTTAACAAATTAATGTGCTCTTCAATAATTCTCCTGCCCCAGGTGTCCTGCTTGTCTTGTTTCCTATTTTCCCCTCCTCTCACTGGAAGTGCAGTAATTAGATCTGTGCCAGGAGACTCAAAAGATTTCAGCTTAGTTATGAAGGCATGGAGGAGCGAAAGGTCATCACGCCTGACATCTATTTATTGTAATCTTGTAATTTCCGTTTCACTAGATTCTGTGGTAGACATGCAGGCTTAGCAGAACGCCGAGGGAGGGTGCTGACCCCAACTCCCTTCTGCATGAGAAAGGAAGGAGCATGTGCAGGACAGCAGACAGCAGCTTCTCTCCAGCAGCTCTGTTGGATGTTCAGGGCACTCTGATTGCAACGCTAAAATCCATACCCCTGCTAGCTCATGGAATACATGTTCCAGAATGTGTGTGAAGATAAGATAAGTCCCACCATGTGGTTTGTGCTTTACCCTTCCCATCAGACATCCCTCTCCCAAACTGGGCGTTGGTGGTGCACACCTTAATCCCAACACTCGAGGCAGGAGGATCTCTGTGAGTTTGAGACCAGCCTGGTCTACAAAGGGAGTTCTAGGACAGCCTTTGTA